TGAAGTGTCCTACATTGTACTGCTTCCCTTGCAAAATTCCAAACTACAATGGTTTGCAGTACATAATAACTACTTGCTCAGGGTACCTGTGGGTAGATGTCATGTTTTTCAATGTCCAGTGTCTTTTCCTTCTTTTCCCTCCACTCTATCTCCTTCCTCTTCTTCCTTCTCCATCTCGAGGAAGTCTGTTTCCCTGTTTCCTAACACTGTTCCTTTTTTGCACTTTATTTATATTTTGAGTTTTTTGTATATGAGAAGCTAAGCAAAATTTAACCTTCTGTGTCCGATGTTCTCTCACTTAACATTGTGGTGTTGAGCTTGGTCCATGCTCCTAGAAAGGACTAATTAAACTGTACTACTTTCTTTAACAGCTGGACAATCTGACATTGCATACATATCATGTTATTTTAATGTGTTTGTTTGTTTCCAGGCATCTGTGCTGCTCCTATAGCTTGGTGATTGTGAATTGTGCTGGTATGAGCACGGCACGCATGTGTGTCTGTAGTATGATGTCTTTGATTCTTTTTTTTTTTTTTTTTTTTTTTTTTTTGTGGAACCAGGGATTGAACTCAGACTCTTGTGCTTGCCAGGGAAGCACTTATTCTACTGAGCCATCTCCCCGCCCCTGATTCTTTCAGGAAGATACCTAGAAGCGGAATAGCTGTGTGTCATGGAATTTCCACCTTTAGTTTTCTGAAGAATCTCCACGCTGGTTTCCATAGTGGTTGCACTAGTTTGCATTCACACCAGCAGTGCGGGACAACCCCCCCCCCCGGCCCCCCCCCCCAGCATTTGTGGTGCTTTGTGTTCTTAATGATCCTGCCTTTCATCCTGTGCAGATTCACGCCTCCTCTTCCTCAGTGCTCTATTGTCCTGATCTCATCCTAGTCCCTAATTTGCAAACCTTTGAGGTCCTTAACATTTATTCCTTCCTGACAAAATACTAACAAGGTTCAGCTCAGCTTCAGTCATGGAGAGCAGCACACTCTTCTTGCAAAATCTGCTTTTGAATTTGACTCACAGTTGCTACCTTTGACTCCAAGGCCTCTGAGTTGGGAGTTGGATGGAGGGTCTCATGGCCGCTTCCTCCAATCTGGCACCCGCATCACCCAGATGCCCAGATCTGAACGTCTGTGCTGTTTCTTGGGCTCCTGGCACTTCTCCCCCATGCTGTGAGTCAGTCATCAGGTCTGGTTGATGGCCTCTTTGTGATACTGTCCTATAAGTAATTTCTTTCTCTTTCTATGAAAGTCAGGCTACATCCTACTGCCTGTAACAAGCCCTGTCACCTCACCTTTGGTCCCTGTGCATCTCAATGTCAGAACCAGGTGGGGCCTTTACAGAAACACGCACACCAGCTCAGACCCTGCTACAGAGTTCCCTAGGTGTACTTTATAAAGCACAGAGCTCTAAGGAGTTGAGTATTGTTTCCCAGACAAGGTCCTGTGATGAACACATCAGAGAAGGGCAGATCAAGTAAATGCAAATACATTTCCTTGGTGTAGAATCTTCAGGGCCCTTTCCATACAATGGGCTTGGTAAATTCACTGAGGGATGAGGGAGTCTATAGCACCTCTCTGGCTAATTTCAGCTACAGAGCTTTAAAACTTTTTGCTTATTTTGGAAGAACCACATCAGGGTTGATGTTTTGTAAGAAGCATGTTAAGGAGTGTTGGCTCTTTGGAATATGTTTAACTTCTCAGGCTGCCAACCCACCTCAAGCCAAGCTGTTCAGATAGAGTGAGCATCTTACATTCTCTGAACAATGCCCCGTCTGGTCAGTTTGCTCTTCAGTCTCCCTTTTTATCTTACGTCTGTGACTTCTATTTTTCTTTTGGCTTACAATGCTAACTCCACCCTAACCCTAATCTGCATTTTATATGGCTTCTTTGAATAATTAACTCACACAGAGTCTGTACTTGATATATCTTTATAGCCTTACTCAGCTTGTTCTGTCCAGCAGTAGCAATCTCTCTAGGGGATTTATGCAGTATAAACTCACAAGGCCCGCTCTCTGAGCATCCATGACACTCAGGGCATCTTTGCTGTGACCTAGCAGTACAGTCGCCTTTAGATCTCTGTGAGATGTGAACAAGAGGCAAGGCCAGGATTGCAACACAAGGTGGTCTTCAGAGAAAAATGCCCCAAGCTTGGGAAGCTCTAAGGGGGTTTTGATTCTGGATGGCAGATGATCTGAGAGATGTGTGTTGGGCAACTTTCCCATCCCTGGGACATAATAGCAGACACCTACAACCTGAAGGAGGAAACGTTCATTTGCTGGGGCTCTACCCATGGCAGAAGGCAGGAACAACATGGCAAAGGAGTGTGCTGGAACCAGACTGCTGTGCTCATGGCAGCACGGCAGGAGAGCAAGGAAACAGCAGCCGAAAGGGAGGGGCCCGGGACCAGATGTAGGCCCCAAGTCATATCTGCATGACCCACCCAGACACACCCACAAGTGTGCTCCAAAATCCCCTGGGCAGGCCCCAGAGCCACTGAGGTTGACAGGTCAGCCTAACACTTCTGTACACTCTTCATTGATAAATAAAGATTTGTAGTGTAAATAGAAGACACATTTTAGTGTTAGAACTTGGGTGGTGTAAATGGCAAGTAGCATCTTCTGCAATAAGTTCATATGAACACTTGGTGAATCTCAGCATTCCGGAAAGTCCCCTGGAGAACACAGAGCCAAGGTAGAAGCCAATCCTCAGCTCAGTTGGAAGGAAGTAGGATGACATTATCACAGGTTCTGGGCAAAGACATGGATGTCCTTTGCGGATCACTGTCTTACTTACATACTTGGTCGTCTCAGGCATCAGAAACATGCTCTTTCCTCATTTTTTTGGTTTTAGTTTGGCTTTCTGAGCCTGACAGTGCTTTGCAGTCAGGTGGGTTTGTCTGTTCAGTAAGAGAATTAGACCTCTGGAAAGGGGAATTGGAGCAACTGAGGGCTCTAGGATGTTGGTTCCGCTTGCTCTGCTGGTTCTCCTGGCACCAGAGGTGGCTGCCCTAAAGTGGTCCTCATGTGCTGCATTTTTTCTAATAATCTCTTTTGTCTGAAATCAATCATAAATTATCAAGTTAGTTGATTAAGCAGAATTCAGTTTGTGTTTTCCATGTATCTATTTTATTTTAATCTTTTATTTACTTGGCATCCTCACACTCATTCAGTTTTATTGGCCTCTCTTACATCACTGTCACACAGAGAAAGCATCCTGGTTTCTGAACCCTTGTCTTCCCCAAGTGAGGAACTCTTGCAGAAGGCCTCTCCTGACTGTCCAGTTCACACAGCATCCTCTCTGTTCTCCCTGAACATCTGTCACAGCTGCCCCCGCTGCCCCCACTGCTGCTCAAGCTCTGGCTGCCTGGGTTCTTTTTTTTTTTTTTTTTGTATTTTAGGGATAGGTCTACAGAGTGTTCAGGGTATCACTACTAAATCGGACTTGTAGTGATCTGCCTGTTTACAGTCTCCCAAGAGCTGGGATTACAAGGGCGCATCACCACGCCCAGTCTCAATTGCCAGCTCAGCACGCCCCGGGGGTGGGGCCAGGGCCAGCACTGCAGGCCCTGGGATTGAACCCCTGATCCCTGCGCCTGCTTGCAGGAGCTTTACTATGCTAAGCTATTTGGCCAGCCCTGCCTGAGGTCTTTGAGGCTTTGCTTTGTCATATATTTGGCCCTAGTTACAAATGCCCGCGTTTGGACCATTAAAAGCAATATGAAACAGCAACAATAAGCCAGAGAAGCATAGGAAAGAATGAAAAAAAAGCAGCATTTATGTTTCTGCCATTGATAGAAAGCTAATGTTTATAATTTGGGAAAATGTGTGTATATTTATTATAAGATAGTTAAGATAATCCTAGAATAGACTGACACAAAGTTTTGTGTCATATTTTTCACTTCACGTGTCATAACATTTCCTCAGTCATGAATATTATTGCCAAACTTTTTTCTCAGTGCTGAAGATTGAACTCAGAATCTTCACACTGAGCTGCATTCCCAGCTCCTTTAATGATATTCTATTTTGAGACAGGGTCAGCCCCACTAAGCTGCTAAGTTGCTAGCGTCATTCTCATCAAGTTCCCAGGATGGGTTACAGCTTGGAATCTTCCTGCCTCTGTCTCCTAGAGTGCTACGATTACAGACATGTACCGCATCTCTGGCTGACAGTATTATTTCAATGTGTACACAGTAGTTCACTTTTGTGGACCTACTGTACAGTGTGCAGCTCTCTGTTCAACCTTAGGAGACAATCTGGATATGAACTTCCTGGTAATGCATCAGTATCGGTAGGCGTAGAGGAGAGCGCTAGTGCAGGCCTGGCTTCTCTGCACTTGCTGGCTGTGACTGTCTTTCTTATGATAATTTTGATGCGGTTGCAGTCAGGACAGCCACACAGGACCAGCAGTGCAATTTCAGCCTCTAGGTGGCACTTTGGCCTTTACAAGTTGAAGTCCACCTGTGCTACTCTCAGAAGCCCAGAGCCCTTGGTCAGTCATGGCTCTGGGGCTCTCACTGTGTAGGTGGAGTCCAGAGTCTGAATCCCTCTGACTGTGGGGGTCAGGCTACGGTTCCATCTTTTGTGGCCTGTGATCATGGTAACGCTGAACTCTGCCTTAATGTCACCTGGGGCTATCACCGGCTTATGTGCTTAATTTGTCCTTATTTATGTGGCTCATGAAGCAAGCCTTGCTCTTAGGTGTGTAAGGTTAATTTCTTCATCCACAGACATGTCTCAAGGCTGCAAAACAATGACATTATAAAAGCTCAGAGATGTTACATTATAACTTCAAAGAACAGAGCCACCAGAAGAACTGTATAAGAAAAGTCTTTGAAAACTCCCCAACATCTTTTTCATTTCTCCCAAGTCATTTTCCTTAGAGCATGACTGCTTAGGTTCTGCCTCTCTACCATCCCCTCTCTTGGCCTAAAGGGACCCTGCTGCCTGTCCACCTCCTCCCTTGGTTGTGACCCTGCTCTTCTCTCTCGCCCATCCGCAGAGCCTGGCATCTGCACGGTGTTCGGAGACCCTCACTACAACACTTTTGACGGCCGGACCTTTAACTTTCAGGGCACGTGTCAGTACGTGTTGACCAGAGACTGCGCCTCCCCCACCTCGCCCTTCCAGGTGCTGGTGAAGAATGATGCCCGGAGGACACGCTCCTTCTCCTGGACCAAGTCGGTGCAGCTGGTCCTGGGCTCCAGCACCGTCAGCCTGGAGCAGCACCTGGC